CGGACCGACGGACAAGGAGCCCACAGAGGGGGCACGGGGTCGGGGGCTGGCGTTGGGCTGCGTCGACCGCGCCGAGAGCGAAAGGAAGGCGGGTCCGACGGCGTGGCAGATACCTTCGTGTAGGCGCCCCAAGACAGCTCTGTCTCGATCACCATGACTACGATGCCGAACATGCCGAAGATGAGCGCGTAGTCGCTGAGGCGCTTGCGCTTCTCGAAGAGCGCCCGGCGGTGCCCCAGCTTGTAGCCGATGTTCTGGTTCTTCTTCTTGCTGGACTTGCCCCGCCGTTGTTCGTGCCGCCGGAGCCGTAGAGCGCCAGGTTGTTGGAGTTGTTGTGCTCGGGCTTGGAGACCACGATCTCCGGAGCAGCGGCTATGGGGCCGACGAGCTGGCTGCTGGAGCGGCTGAGACTCGGAGTCAAGCTCGTGCAGGTTCCTGCGGGATGAGCTCCAGGTTGCTGAGCGGCCGCATGATGCCGCCGTTGTACCTGCAGCTGCTCATGGCTATTTCGGCGAAGGATTGCTCTCCCGACGCTGCTGGTAGTGAGTGATGGTGGGTGCTGCTGCTGCTGCCGCTGACACTGCTGCTGGGACTGGCTGCTTGCTGCTGCTGCAGGCTATGGCACTGGTGGGTACTGGTGGGGCTGTCTGGACGAGCCGGCATGGCTGGAGGGGTGAGCTCGCTGACGTTCAACTGGCTGCCCTGCCGGGAGGAGGCGAAGCTGGAGCGGCGAGGAGTGAGTCCTGAGGGCGCCCGAGAGAGAAGAAGTGCAGAGCAAAGCGAGGGCAGGTTATGCCCCGCTGCTGCCTAACGGCCCCATAGTAGGCGCCAGTTGTTGCACTGGAGGCATGGGGTCTGCTGCTGTGGCTGCTGGAGAAGACTTTGCTTGTCCTGGCGCTGCTGCTGCTGCTGCTGCTGCTGCTGCTGCTTGCTGCTGTCAGGCAGAAGCCCGTCTGGAACTGCAATGGTCTTTCCATGTCGGAGGCGTTAAAGCCGCAGGAGCACCAGGTAGCGGTGGTGCACCCTGCGCAATGCCTTACGATCGGCAGGGGAGAGGCCTGCTGCCTCCACGAAAGGCCCATCCCGGCTTCCGTAGAATCCAGCCGATTGGTCGGGCGGACCAAAACAAGGCGCATCTCGTCGAGGGAGACCGGCTGCGGTGTGAGACGGCGGAGAGATCCCCTATCCGCCCTGCCCTCCTCGCGCGGGGTCTACTACCGCTCCCGCAGGTAGAGGTTACCTCACCCCCGCCCCGCCGCCGGTGTGCCCCACGCAACAGAAACTCGAGGGGGCCTGGGTGGGCGGGGAGTGCTCTCTGAGCTCGCTTCCGGGATCGCCCTCTGGGAAGAAAGGCACACATCTGCGCCGTCTCCAGAACATAGGCGCTGCGCTGCGCCCGGAGCTGTCCAGCGACGCCCCGTCGCTTTCCGGAGACGTGCAAAACAGCAGCGTCCTCGCTCCGAGGCTCTCGCCGCGGTCCCGGGAGAGAGGCGGTTCTCAGGGCCTGGCGCGGCCGGCGCCCAGCACGGAGAGGAGCTGGGCCGGGGTGCGGCCTCGCCGTGCCCACAGGCCATCAGAGACGTCACAGGAGATCTCTCCTCTCCTGAAACTCAGGAGAGCCCAGGGCCCACCGGCTTCCAGGGGCCGCAGGGCCCGGGTGGCAGCGATAGCTAACCGCTGGGGGCCAAAACGCAGGTCCCTCCCCGTTTCCCCATTGGCTGAGGTACTTCGGGGTTACAGACTTTCCGACACGCCTACAACGTGTCCCCCATTACATGGTCATTAAGGGAAGGGTCCCCAACATTTTCAAAATGCATTTATTTGAGGCAAGTTTGGTTACAGGATAGTAGTTGTAAAAAATAGTTATTTCAGACTTTATAACTATGTCATGTCATTGTTAACTCTCTGAGATTAACAATGACCAGAAATAGCTTTCGAACAGTCTGAAATAACTATCGTTTACAACTACTATATGTAACCAAATGCCTCGGATGGCATTTTGAAAATGTTGGGGACCCTTCCCTTAATGACCATGTAATGGGGGACACGTTGTAGGCGTGTCGGAAAGTCTGTAACCCCGAAGTACCTCAGCCAATGGGGAAACGGGGAGGGACCTGCGTTTTGGCCCCCCAGCGGTTAGCTATCGCTGCCACCCCGGGCCCTGCGGCCCCTGGAAGCCGGTGGGCCCTGGGCTCTCCCGAGTTTCAGGAGAGGAGAGATCTCCTGTGACGTCTCTGATGGCCTGTGGGCACGGCTTGAGGCCGCACCCCGGCCCAGCTCCTCTCCGTGCTGGGCGCCGGCCGCGCCAGGCCCTGAGAACCGCCTCCTCCCCGGGACCGCGGCGAGAGCCTCGGAGCGAGGACGCTGCTGTTTTGCACGTCTCCGGAAAGCGACGGGGCGTCGCTGGACAGCTCCGGAGCGCAGCGCAGCGCCTATGTTCTGGAGACGGCGCAGATGTGTGCCTTTCTTCCCAGAGGGCGATCCCGGAAGCGAGCTCAGAGAGCACTCCCCCCGCCCACCTCGGGCCCCCTCGAGTTTCTGTTGCGTGGGGGCACACCGGCGGCGGGGCGGGGGGTGAGGGTAACCTCTACCTGCGGGAGCGGTAGTAGACCCCGCGCGAGAGGGGGCAGGGCGGATAGGGGATCTCTCCGCCGTCTCACACCGCAGCCGGTCTCCCTCGACGAGATGCGCCTTGTTTTGGTCCGCCCGACCAATCGGCTGGATTCTACGGAAGCCGGGATGGGCCTTTCGTGGAGGCAGCAGGCCTCTCCCCTGCCGATCGTAAGGCATTGCGCAGGGTGCACCACCGCTACCTGGTGCTCCTGCGGCTTTAACGCCTCCGACATGGAAAGACCATTGCAGTTCCAGACGGGCTTCTGCTCTGAGCAGCAGCAGCAGCAGCAGCAGCAGCAGCAGCAGCAGCAGCAGCGCCAGGACAAGCAAAGTCTTCTCCAGCAGCCACAGCAGCAGACCCCATGCCTCCAGTGCAACAACTGTACCTATTATGGGGCCGTTGTGGCAGCAGCGGGGCATAACCTGCCCTCGCTGCTCTGCACTTCTTCGCCTCTCTCGGGCGCCCTCAGGACTCACTCCTCGCCGCTCTCCAGTTTCGCCTCCTCCCGGCAGGGCAGCCAGTTGAACGTCAGCGAGCTCACCCCCTCCAGCCATGCCGGCTCGTCCAGACAGCCCCACCAGTACCACCAGTGCCATAGCCTGCAGCAGCAGCAAGCAGCCAGTCCCAGCAGCAGTGTCAGCAGCAGCAGCAGCAGCACCCACCATCACCACTACCAGCAGCGTCGGGAGAGCAATCCCTTCGCCGAAATAGCCATGAGCAGCTGCAGGTACAACGGCGGCATCATGCGGCCGCTCAGCAACCTGAGCTCATCCCGCAGGAACCTGCACGAGCTTGACTCCGAGTCTCAGCCGCTCCAGCAGCCGCTCGTCGGCCCCATAGCCGCTGCTCCGGAGATCGTGGTCTCCAAGCCCGAGCACAACAACTCCAACAACCTGGCGCTCTACGGCTCCGGCGGCACGAACAACGGCGGGGGCAAGTCCAGCAAGAAGAAGAACCAGAACATCGGCTACAAGCTGGGGCACCGCCGGGCGCTCTTCGAGAAGCGCAAGCGCCTCAGCGACTACGCGCTCATCTTCGGCATGTTCGGCATCGTAGTCATGGTGATCGAGACAGATCTGTCTTGGGGCGCCTACACGAAGGTATCTGCCACGCCGTCGGACCGCCTTCCTTTCGCTCTCGGCGCGGTCGACGCAGCCCAACGCCAGCCCCCGACCCCGTGCCCCCTCTGTGGGCTCCTTGTCCGTCCCGGTCCGTGGGCTCGCGGAAAGGTGGCTCCGCAGCCGGCTGCCCTCTCCTGACAGTCGTTCAAATTCTTGCGGTCTAGCCGCCCCGCGCCGTCATCCTCGTGGAAAGGCGGCTGCCGCCCGACCCCGACATCACTTCGTTTCTCTTAGAGCCCAGCGTGGCGGGACTGTTCAGCCCTCACCCGGCCCTGCCGGGAAGCGTCCCTCGCCCCAAAAAGAGGTGAGAGGTGCCCTGACCCCCCGGCACCGCCGTGTGGAGCCCACTGGTCCTCCGCCCTGAGACGAGATGCTCACCCCGCGGCTCCGCAACCGTGAGGCGAGGTGTCCCCCTTCCCTGGCCCCGCCGTGAGGCACCCTCCGGCCCCGACACTGTAAGGCGAGGCGATCTTCCCTCCCCTCCCAGTTCGGGCTCCGCTGCTCGCAGTGGGGCTGGGGAGCCTGGCGGGGCGGGAACGGTTCCGTGTGTGTATCTCTGATGGACAGTGGTGTCTTTCTGTTGCAGGAGTCTCTGTATTCCCTCGCTCTGAAATGTCTTATTAGCCTCTCCACGATTATCTTGCTTGGGCTCATTATTGTATACCATGCAAGGGAAATTCAGGTAATTATTTAACTTTATGAATTGCTGAGTGTTTACATATCTGTGGTTGCAGAGTCAGTTTTTCTAAAGGCTTTATTGTGGTAAGTACTTTGCACTTCCTGCTGATTCAGAAAACATAAATAATCACTTAGTGCTTCCTGAAGTTCAGTGAATGTATTTCATCCCTGGAGAGAAATAAGATTGCATTGCCTGCTGGAACTGTTACCTGCGATTATGCTAGTAGGATCACTTAGTTCTGAGGTTATAGCATACTTTATGACATACCTGCTATTTTCTGTAGCAGATGTAGGGCAACAGTCTTATTTCCCAGTGACTAAATGTCATGCTGTGCATTTTCTCTGGATAGCAGGGCTAATTATTAGGAAAGAGGCATCAATAACTTCTAGGTATGTAATCTCCACTGTGCTGTTTCAGATACTAGCATACACTAGAATATTTAAAAAGAGGGGGAAACCTTATGTTGGATTTGTTTTATTTAATGCCATAGAAGACAGGTAAGGCTAAAGGTAGGAGGAATTTATTGATCAAAGCTGTAGAGTAAGTCTAAAAATACTGTCACATGTCCTGTCCCAGGTACGTAGTTCTAATTTCAGTTGTCTTTTTTTTTTTAATTAAGAAATTACAATTTGACATTTCAGTTAAACTGAAACATGTAAGAGAGAGTTTTCAAAGTTTTGAAGTGAAAAATACCTTATTTGTAGATACATTGGTGGTTTTGCTATGTCTAATTAGAGATACCTTGGGCTACAGACAGAAATGACACTTTTCAAGGGCAGGAACGTTGGTTTTTTTCAGCAGTACCAATTAGCAAAAAAGAGATATTAAGAATTTTGTAGTACCCTTCTTCTATGCTGTAGTTCTAATATGAAAGGGCACCGTAGTCTCCTCCTTAGACTACTGTTAGAGAAGTATTGCGCTACTGAAGACTTTGCCAAATGGGATCCTGTCCTGCGGTCCATACATATGAAAAACACTATTTCTGTCTCAGAACCCAGTTTCTTTGCATTGATAGCAAAGATGGGCAGCTGTTTAAGATTATTGTACTCAGTAAATAAGTGTCTGGTGACAGTGTATCACTATAAACTATTGAAATGCTGATGAAGAGGTTTCTTTATTTGTGTAAAAATAAATAAATGTAGCTGCTGCCATGTGGGAGCCTTGTTCTCCAGTGTACCTTGCTATAAGTGTTGCTTGAGGCACTAAGAACAAAGTTGAAAAAACCCCAACTTCTGTAAGTATTTGAATTATTCTATGTATTTTCAAGAAACTTTAAATAGAAAACAATACACAACATAAAGTCATAGGTTTCTGTATGAGTAAGTTTACAGTAGGTAGTTACTCCAACATTTGCATATCTTTTTCCAGCTAATTGGATACACATTTTCATTCTTTCAGAGATTCGTTATAGATCAGAAAAATCGATCTTTTAGAAAACTTCAGTTGTATTTCTGATTTTTTTTTTTTAATTGATCGTTTTAAAGAACTCCTTTATGTATGAGACTACATGGAAGGAGTTGTGCAATCACGTGACTTAATCAAAATTAATGTAGCTTTCAACACTGCCTGACAGTATAGAACACAAGCATACCTGTTTTACAAACAGTACTACTCTATGTTTTTGTCTGAGAGATGCTGTAGGCTGCAGTACTCATGTCAGAGCTCGGAGTAAGCTGCAGCTCCGAGGGGCTCTGTCATTCATCTTGAAAGTGAAGGGAAGTTTTGTTTTCAAGGACACTATTGGAAGGAAAGGCCATTGTACCACCCTTAGCTGTTCGATACCTGATAGATTTTTAATTTAGGCACAGTATGTTTATATATGCACACTTGACTTTTTAAAAAATAAGATGAAAACCACACAGAGAAATATTTGCATCCATCTGTGGTGCTAAATTTATGTTGCACCTTAAATCTGAAACAAAAACTATCTTTAAAATATTTTAGCTTAGAAATGCAGAGAACCTACTCCAAGTGGAAGAAAATACTGCATAAGCCTGATAATGTACCGGTTTTAAAATAATCTTTAAACCTGACTGTTTTCTGAAGGGATACTTGCCTTTAATTTGGGAAAATATCCTGCTATGTGCGGTGGAATATTTTTTGAATCAGATCTGTAGAATCATGCCCATAGATGGTTGACTGTGTCCTGGAGCACCAACTGTTTCCTGACCTTGTTCAAATTTGATCATTCCTTTCTTATTCTCTGAAAGGTACTTAGACTTTATCTGTAAGTATAGTGTAAATTTGTAGGAATTCATCAAGACAATAAATTTTGTTGAACAGAACGGCAATGTGTTTTGCCTGCAGTGTGGTATGTTTCATAGTCTGATAGAAGCAGACCTACCTGAAAGAAAAGTAGATTTTCCTGCAAAACATGAACTAAAATATGTTGGGGAATAAGATGATTATAATATTAATTTACAATGTATGAATTGCCCACCTTATGCATAAACAGTTTGTTACTTCATGGTTGTCCTGGTTTTGGCTGGGATAGAGTTAATTTCTTCTACATAATTAAAATAGCAGCATACAACATGATTAAAACTGTTGTTTCTAGACAACTTATTGTTCCATTCCACATTTCCCTAATGCAATTTGCTGTTAGATCAATAATCAGGTGGAAGTTAAGAAACTTTTTGATAACAGTTCACATGGTAAAGCTGCATTTTTTTTATACCTTTACTGAGAAAGTAGACCTCTCTGTCTCTCTCTTGTACTGCTGCAGACAGAAATGCTTTTTAAATGTACAGTTCCTGAAGTTTAACTGGCACGTCCTTATATTACTCAAACGATTAAAACCAAAATTCTCTAAGGTTGCTAATAAGATGTCGTTAATTCCCTTTCTTGGGTATTCTGCCACAGCCTGGTATTTCTTGAAAGATGGCTGTCAGAGGGTAGGAGGACTATGTCCACCGGGATACTTTTGCTTTGGTGATGGACTAATTAGGGTATCCCTTTGTAAATAAACATTGCCCTTCTTCTATTGCCTTTCTTGAATAATGGTAGTCTGTGTTCTTCTGGACTGAATCTGAACCTCTTTTCCCTCTTCCCTTGATACAGATGCTCTCACTCACACATAGAAATGAAAATTGTTGATATTTGGCAGAAATGAATAGAAATCTTAATTTTATTTGGTTTTGTATGTGAATTGAGATTTTGAAACACTTATAAATTGGACTGTTAGTTCATGCTCAAGTAGAACTCCTATGGAAAGTCATGCAGACTTCAAAGTTAAGGTTAAGCCACTGTTCTCACAACAGAGTTCATTTTTGAGTTAATTTTTAGAATTCAGTCCATCACTTTCCAGGTCTCCAGGGAGAAAGCACCCTCAGTCCCTAGATTGTTCTGAAGTGGTGGGAAAACCATGTGATACTGATGGATTTGGCATGAAACATTTTCAGTCTTCAGTAACGTTATGGAAAGTGTTGCCTAAATGGCTGTGGGGAAAAAAAGACTCCAAGCCAAATTAGGTAGGAGATAGGATAAGGATACAAAGGCTTTAATGAGCCCCCAGGCTTTCCGGAATACCCCCAACGCGCGCTCCCGAATACAGGTGTTCACAGTTTTTATAATGATTTTCACCCAATCCCCGTCCGGCCACTGCCCAGGTTCTGCCCCCGCCACGCCTCTTGGGAATTGGGTCTGGGAAACGTTTGGGACCCCCTCTTCTTCATCTTCCTCTTCCTCAGAGCACGTAATGTTCTTGGAGGCCTTCCAGAGTCCTAGGCCTGAAGGTTGTTGCGTCTATGGCTATATCTTCTTGCATAGATTTTAGGGTGTTCTCTACAATTCTACCTTGAAAATAAGACTAAACAGGCCAGTGGAATTTAGGGGAATTGATATGGGAATGGGTAACAGGGTTTGCTATGTGTGGTTGGTGTGTTAAAGGGTAAAGGGATAATATGCTGCTACTCTAAAATCTACATTTACTACATAACTACTTCTAAGATCTAAAAAAATTAAAAAATCAAAACTCCAAGGCATCAAAAGTTATCACACATGTGAGCCCAAATATCTCGCTGAAGACTCGAGAGTTTTCTCCTTTTCCCTGTCTCCTGGAAAGTTGAAGAAATGGAGCAGGCAGTACTAGGAAAAACAAGTGGATGTTACTAAATACATTTATTGACTATTTATTGTGCAAATAAATTCCATAATGCATTATTCTGGTAAACACTGCTTATGGGGCTTTAATTATCTTATTGGAAAGTTCTTCAGAAAAAATCCTGCATTCTCTAAGAACTATGAAGTTAAACTCCCTTACAGTTTCCTATCACAAGCAGTAATGGGTATCCTGCAGGCAAAATTGTTTATATCTATGTAATTCTTTTGCCTTCATTGTGGTGGTGCATGGTCATCTCATTGTCTTTCTTCTTCTGCTGACCACAAAGAAACAAAAGTCTAGCTTAAGTATGCTGAAGCATCAGCTAAGACTGCTGCTGCAAAAACAAATGAAGATTAAGAGCACAGAAAGCAAGTCTGTTGAATAACAGGTGAAAAACAATAAATAAACTTTGAGTGATAATTTTATTCTGATCTAAAACCTGCTGAAAATTACTGAAAAATTTCCGTTTATTTTAATAGGCCTTGGATCAGGCAACAACAAATCTCATCAGGTGCCACTTTTGGTCCAAGATACAGTAGTTTCATGTATAGGCTTGAAAATTACCTTGTACCAGTGAAGCTTAATACACATTCCATACAACAGAAAAACATGCTGATTATAAGAAAACTAGAGACGTCATATCTGTTAAATTATCACTTTAGGTGTATTTATTTGCTAAATATTTAGCTTTAGTTCCATTTAGTACATTTTTTAATAGGTTATATCTGCAGAACATGTTGACCCAGGAAAAGTTACAAGCGCCTACTGTTTCTGAAAAGCAGCACTGTAATGCATAAGACACAGAAGGCAGGATAGACAATCCTTTAACATTGGTCAAGCATCTAATGAACAGTGACTGAAAGGATCTGAGGCCTTTTGCATTGAAATTAAATGTAGAAGA